GAGGGAGGAACTTGGCTTCTGAATTCTTTTTTATTTTTTTTAATAGAGTTTAGTTTTGTTTAATATGGTAAAGCAGAGTTTCAGAAGGTTTATTTATTACAAAAGCTCTGAAAAGGGAAAATCAGTAGAGACACTGATGGGTTTTGTTGTTTTTTTTTAATTCCAGTAACTTTGGTTTGCTGCCTTTATGCTGAGAGTTCTTCAACAAATGGGAATTGAGAGCTCTTCCATCTCTGCACTTGATTGTTGCATATAGAAAAATCAAAATAATGCAAAGAGCACAGTGGGAGATGGTAGAGAATGGAGCAGTGTGGTGGATTCTGGATCTCTGCTAGGAATATTAATTGCTTCCTTGCTCTGCTTGCATGGAGAATCAGTGTCTGAGTCTTAAGAGTATTTCACACGCAGCTGTTTGTCTATGGCAGGTCAGGCATTTCAACCCTCCCGTGTTTTCTCAAGGACCTCCTTGCTTACAGTGCAGTCCCTGCCTTTCTGGGGAATGAGGGAGGGAAGGGGGGGTAAAGGATGCTCATCCGAGTAAAACCAGGCAGAGCAGGTGCTGTTGGAATGAAGGACCCCAGGTTTCTGCCTGTCCCTCTCCCTGCTTCTGAAAAGAGGTTTGGCTTTAGGAGGCAGTTCTGTAATTTTCATTTTTTTTGGTAGGAGGGTTTGTTTGCTTCCAGATAAATTTATTACATATTCCCGAAACAGGAAAATATGAAGAACAATTCCATTGGGGCCAGAACTGAAGGCTTGGGAAGGCTCAGTTGAAAGCAAGCAGGGAGGTGCCCCCAGAATAAACAGGCTGCCAAATCAGGAAGATCCCTGAATGCCAGGCAGGGTTTTCTAAATACAGTGACTGTGGAGCCCTGCCTCCACTATAATGTCTAGATGGACTGTGACTGCTGTTGGTGAGGCAGAACCTTCTAGAAAATGGGCTTCCAACTCTAGCTGTGGATATTTTGTGGAAAACAATGGACCTCCTTGGCATCTTCATTCCCAGTGACCCTCCTTTCCCCTCCACATTAACTGTCAGTCTGCTCTCTGTTAATGTGCCAGGGGGAGCTCTGCCCACAGGTCGAGGCTCTGAAGAGCTGCTGGGTTTCTGTCACTTGGAAGAAGCAGCCTTTGCCCAGCCCTGTGTGTCTCTCAGCCTGCCAGGGTCAGTGGGGGCAGCAGGGGCATGGAGTGTGCCACCAGGGCCATGTGGGCATTAACCCTGCAGTGTAGGAAGAAAACAGTACAGTTTGGGATGTGCATGTCAAGTGCTGGCAGCCCTGCAATAGGAGCCACTGCCCAAAAGAGTTTTATCATTTCAGATCAAACATGTAAGGGCAGTTGGGAAGAATTACACAGTTCAGTTATCTTCCTTCAGTTTTACTCCACTGCTTTTCTTCAGGGCACTCTCATCAGTGTATTCATTTCACCAGTTCTGAGTTCAAGTTATGTAGGTACTAAAATCTGACCTGTTTGCCCTAGATTTGAGCCCCAGATTTCTCTGAGAATTTCTGTGCAACCCCAGTGTTTGTTTGCATGCAATGTTTGTTGACTAGATGGTGCTGTCTGGACGCCTTTGAAGAAAAATTCCTGCGGGAATATTGCCTCGTGTGAAGCAACTGCAAAGGCTGGTGGTGCACTCTGCTCTTGGCTTCCAGTAAGGTCCACGGTAATGCACTAGGACAGGTCTTGAGAGTCTTAACTTTATTGCCCTATTTTCAGCATTGCCTTGTGCCTGCATTGGCCAATCTGTTTACATCTGTGCCCACTGAGCCTCTTGGAGAATGATACAGGATGTTCCTTCCCTCTTTGAGTGAAGTCTAGGCAGAGAGGCAGCCAAGAAATCCGGCAGTTCGATATAAATAGGTTACAAAATTGTCACGTAAGAAAGCAAAGGTTAAAACCTGATTGCATCCACCTGCCCACAGAGAAAGCTTTGCAAGGGAAGGACAATCTCAGCCCCTGTTTTTCCTCCTGGAATAATGTCTGCAGGATGACCAGGACTGAATGCCCAGGACTTGTTACTTGTAATCTGATTTTTGTGAAAAGCCAAGAAGTGTTAAAAGGCAGGATTTTGCTGGAGACTGAGATAATTCCAGATTCAAAGTTCTGCAGCCTTCTGCCCTGAAAATATTTAGGCTGCAAACAGCACTGCAGAGGAGACCTGTGAGTCATTTTATCTGCTTCATTGTGCACTGTTGTGTTCTAGGGTGGTGACATTTCTGGCATTTATTTTTGTTCCCAAAGCTGCAGTAATACAGCATGGAGAGGAACTAGCAGTGTTTGTGGATGCCTGTGGGATCCTCCCCACGTGTGGTCAGGGTGCAAGGCAGGCAGGCAGTGAGGATGCAGAGCCCATTCTGCTATGGCCAGGCTGTCACTGCCACCTCCCACCTCCCCTCCCCGTGCAGGTGTGACCGAGACAGGTAGAACACATTGATCAGTACATCCTGTACTGTGATACGGAGAGGGATGTTCTTTCCTAGATGACATAGCTGCAATAATTCCCTGATAGCTTAATTTTTGTTGGTATGTGTTTAGCAAGATCTAATGACCTAAAACTGAACTGCAACATTAAGCAAAATGCAAGTGAGAAAACAAGATTGTGAGGGGCCTCTTACTGAGGCACCAACCTTGTTAAGCCAAAGAAAAATGCTGGTGTGCCACGAACTGGTATCTGTGACACAGCAAAAGCAGCCTTGTTCTCAAGACATAAAAATGGCCTTCTGGATACAGAAGTGCTTTAGCAGGTCTGATTTGTCCCTCTCCTAATTAGGTGGAAGAGTCTTCCAAGTTGAGCAAAAATATCACAGGGGACCTTTGTGCTGAATTACAGCAGAAAATACTAAAGAAAGATCCCTCTGCATTTTATGCACACACCTCCTCTTAATGCTCACTTGTATCAATCAGAGGAATATCCTCCCATACCAGCACTGTTTCCAGAGCTCCATATAATGGTTTAGTCCTACTCATCTATCTGACCTTTCATCACTGACTTTTCAAAGTTTTTAATTTCCTTAGCCATATCCCTCAGAAATTTCCCATGCCATCCAAGCAATACATTCATTATTGAAACTTGTGTGATTTAATAATTTCCTGGCACAATAATTCCAAAACATGTGGGAGGAAATATGGAGAAGGATTTTTCCATCTCCAGGTGTTTATTTTACTGCCTGAATCCTTGCTCTTGACCTTTCTGAGTGGCTTTTTGTTGAACTGCATTTCAACTGCTTGTCTAAGAAAGACCTTCATCCTTGCAGCTGAAGGTGGAGGCATGGAAGCTCATTCTTAGAAGTCTGATGTGCCTGCTCTAGCATTTCTAGCTTTGAATTTCTGGAGCTGTTTTCTTTTCCACAATCTCCATAAGCTAAACAAACACTTTTTTTGCTTTACTGCTTTACTAATCAGTGTTTGAGATGCAATATTGAGGCCTCTACTGCCCACTCGAGCCAACATGCAGCATGCTGGGTTTACCATGGCAGCCTGCCAGGAGCCTCAGGGCTTCACCTGTGCCCAGGAGAGGTAAGACAAAGAGCACAACCAAAGCAGCTCCTCTGTGGGACTCAGCAGCACATTGCTGGTTCCCAGGTATCACTGGACATCAGCAGCTACTGGCAATGACTGAGCAGTGGGGTCTGGGTGCATTAGAAGGCAAGAAGCTGGAGCCTTAATTCAAGAAGGTACTTATTTACGAAATAAGTGCATATTTATGTTGAGCAGTACATTAAAACCATTAAACTCCCTTATATATTTGCACTTGGGCACATGTAGATGCAGTGCTGAGTCAGCCTGGCTGTGTTAATGACCTCAGCAGATCTCCAGGGAATGTCTCTGCTTTTCCAGGTGTCTCAAGTGTCAGGGTTATGAAGCCGATTCCTGTAAGAACAATTTTCACTTGGTATTTGAGAGAATCATTAATTCTGACTTACTCTGCCTTGCAGTGGTGCTAAATAATGGCATTTGAAAACATTTGAAGAGACATCTGTTAAGCCTCTACAACCCTGTTATGTACCTGCTCAAAAGTACATAAAATTAACAGTCAGGAAAAGGAAAAGAACCTCTGACGTGTCTCAGCTGCTCTGTTGTTCAATTGCTCAGTCATCTCCGGGCCACACAGTATAACAGAATGTAGATTTATTTTAACTCTCATCAACTGCTCTGCTGTTTTAGTACCTCTGCCTGGAGTACGGAGTGACTGGAAGATTGCCAGGAAAGGGAAGTCTGTGTGTGAACAGCCGGGAGGGATAATACGTAAATCTGGGGGAAAGAGGCAATTAAAGGCAGTGCTGAGATAGAATGAAAAATAGACAATATTGAGCCTCATCAGAAATAGCAACATAAACAGCCACTTACTGTACAGTGGAGGGAACTTTGCTGTGAATAACTGCATTTTACAGAAAACAGATGGATTATGAAATCTGTGAGCAGACTTACAGAAAGCAGTTTGGTCCATGTTGATGTCTGGCAGGTCCTCCTGGCACAAGGGGACAAAAGGTGGCTTCTCCCTGCTGTTGTATTTACAGAATCCAGAGGGGAGCTGCAAAACTGGATTGCACATGAGCCAAACAGAGCTGAAAATAATTCTGCATGTCATCTGTAACTATGAATGGAGATGACAGAGGAAGTGCTATCTGAGATCAGCAGTGTAATAAATGGTACCTTTTTGCTTTGTAACCCAGCAGCTGAGGAGGTGATACACCAGTGAACACATCTATCCAGAGGGACCATGCCTGTAGCTTACCAGGATCTTGGTATCACCAGCAAATCCAACTGCATCATCTTTTGACATGAGTGGGTGGACTGGGAAGGGACAGACCATTCCAAAATGTTTAACTTCATGTTACAAATGAGGATGGATTCCAACTGCGTTTTAATCCTATGGCCTGTATTTGATCATTCTTGTTTTGGAATAATTGATCAAAAAGCTCAACAGTTTCCTGTATTCTCCCACTTTTCCAGCTATTTTGCTGGCTTTGTGAATGAGTACAATCAGACACAGCCCAGACACAGCAAATCAAGCTCCTGTTTGCAGACACAAACTTGGCAATATGCATTAACTGAACATAGTTCTTGCATCAGGCAACACATCATGTGCTGTCTCGGTCACATTCTGGGCTACAAGAGAAATATGTTTAAGGATCTTTTGGAGGGCTCATGGAAGTGCTTATTTCTTACCACTAAACTTGTTTCTTTCAATTCTTTAGTTCTCCTCTTCCAGCATAACCAAAGAAACAAAAGAAGAGCTGCTTATTATTAACATGTTTCAGTCTTCGTGAATGGATAGAAACACGCAAAGATGACTCACTTCTGATGTGCTGGAGCTGCAGCCTCACTCCATCCAGAATTTTAAGCACTAGGCTCTGGTTGAGTTGGAGCAAATGACTTGTAGAGAGCTAAGATGGAAGAGGGAAAATTCCAACACTGGGGCTAGAACTCACCCCTTTGGATGCAGTATGGCTTGGTGCAGAAAGGAGACAATTAAAAGCTACTGCATAATAACCTCCATATATTCTTTTTGAAATTAGTACTTTATTGGATCACATTTTTCCACAACCAAAAATCCGCAAAGCAACATGATGACAAAATGCTAAATAAATGGTTTAACTAGCACTTTGTATGCTTCCCCTTTCATTTTTGTGTTTGCTAAGGATACTCTACATATCTGGAACAGCACAGTTTGCCAAAAAATGGGTGTGTTTTTTTACATTTCAGGGCACCCCTCAGGCCTTTAGAAAAGTAGAAAGTACCAAATATTCTTTAAACTGGGGAAGATCTGTCTAAAGAGATAGGATTGTAAATTCCCTCTGGTGCTTGTTAAGGCCTCTGCATGGGAGGTTTTCTCCCTTTATTCAACACCCTTCACCTAAGTAGCATCACTTACACTGAAAGCTCTGGCATAAAGGGGCATGGCTGTCTTCATCTTGTGTCATCTAAATTCATTCTAGTGACAGGGTAGCAAACTGTTTATGAATTGCTTCTGCCAGCACTTAGTAGGAGTTTTTTTTAAGGTACCTTAGTCATTTCATTATGAGGACTTTGAGCATGTAAGCCTGTGCTTGCCTACGTTTTATTCCAGCTCAGTCATCTTGCTTGTGTTGTCAAAAATCTAAAAGGTAGCAAATTTGTGATTGTTAAACCTCTTTGGGAAACATATTTGTGTTGTGTTTGTGTCTTGAAAATTCTAGTTAAGACTGAAGTTCAAGAAAAGCCAGTCTGTTACATTCAGGTTGTGTATGTCATTAAGAACCAAGAAATGCAGAGAACGTCCATTAAACCTGTTCCACAAACAGTTCAAGACAGAGAAAGCCAAGAGTGAATACGAAAATTAGGGTCACTTTTATCTTCAGCTTCCTGAAATCCTACAAGCTGATAATAAAAAACCAGGGCATTTGTGTTACATAGAATAGCATTACATGGTCTAATAAAAAACTGGGTTTGAAGGGGAGAACACAGTTCAGGAAATAATGGTGTTTTCAGGACAGCATTTCTGAACCTATCTTTAAAGTTAATGCAGACAAAGGTACAGATTCCTACAAAAGCAGGAATTTGGGAATAAAGGAATGGAACAAAAATATTTCATGAACAATAAAACTAATTCAAGAAGGTGCAGACCTTGGTCAAAGACTTTTTTTTTCCCCCACAGTTTGCACTGACTTCATAGATTTTCCAGTAAGGGCTGAACTCCCACTTCAGCCATTCCTTCTAAATAAAAGTCTCTCCACTCTCTGGCTGCCTGTTTTCATGAAAGTTGCTGGAATTCAGTTTCTTTGAGCTTATTCCTCTCTGTCACACATGGCTGAATTTGGCCACTGGTCTCAAAACTTACTGTGGTGGGGAAAAGGAAGCAAGGCAAACAAGAACAGTCATAAAGAGCTGTTTCCTTCTGGAGATGGGGGAATTCATAGCTTATGAGTTTAGAGAGTGCTTCTTGCCAGGATTAAGAGAAGGGGAAATATGTTTTAAATGCCCTATAGAAAATAAAAATTCTGTTTACAATCTGCACAGTTTACCACTATACTTGAAAATGTAACAGGGTTTCTGCTTTTCTTGGCTTCATTCTGTTTCCTGGATAATGTAATAATGTTAAGAAAATGAGCACTGAGGTTTTCCCTGTCAAGGGTCTATTTCAAAGGAAATAGCTAAAAGGCCCTAACAGTCAATATATTCAGCATTTCCCAAATCACCCTGTTAATCTGCAATTGGCCAACATTGGCTCATTCAGCCTTGCTGTAGGACAGAGGTGACAACCAGCAGACCCCTCCAGGTCCTTCCCAGCCCTTTCTCATGCCCTGTTTGTGCACACTGACTAGTTATGCTCCTAAGTGGTGTTCAGCCACTCGGACCATCTAGGCTGAGATTTTACTTGCTCTATTTAGAAGCGTAGCTTGGTTTCTGTCGTTCCAGACCTGGTGATATTAGAGAGAGATGCACCCTGGATTTATATCAGCTACCTCATCCCTTGCCACTGGTTATGTTTTCAAAGAACACATTCACCCTCTATCTGCTTGATGAATGAGCTGCCAGAGGAAACACCCAGGAGGAATTCAGCTTCTCCAAGGGTTGTTGTAGCACACAGCCCTGATCCATCTGTCAAGATTCTGAAGGCACACGTTGACTCCCGTGCCCTTTACCCGGCTTTGCGTCACTCACCAGTAGATCTCTGTTTTTTACAAGGTTGGTTGGAGGAGTTGCAATTTCAGCTGAGAAACTGCCATGTAAGGGATTCAGCACCTGTGCTGCAAAGCCTGGAGAACACCAGTGTCCAGGGAAGGAGCAAATGGCTCTAGGAATGCACAGAGAGCATCAATGTCCGTGTGCTGCTCGTGGACAGAAATGGCTCCTTCCAGTGGAAATGCTTCTGGGAGGCAAGACAGGCATATTGTTTGCAAGCTACAAGTAAATTATGTATCATCATGGCATTCTCTGTGGGGAACCTCAAGACCTCCAGCCTGCACTGCTACTGCCTCTAGACACTTCTGTTCATTTTGACATTAAATGCCATCAGAATCTGCTGATGGAGATGATGGGATTATAATCTCCAGCAGAGCTTTCATGTACAGGGACTACAGGATGGGGCTTCACATACTGAACTAAATTCATAAAGTGACCTTTATCAAGAACATGTCAGGAGTTAAATCCACCATAACAGGGGATTGCCTTTAAATTCTAAGCATGTACAATGCCATTCTTCTTTCAAAGAATGAACTAGAGGGAATTTAAACATTAAACAATTACATATTAAACAACTCTGCAACAGAATCTTTACATTTCAAATAATTTCTTAAAAAACATAACCATTTTTACCAGCTGGGTCTCAGGAGCTTGTGCAATGACTTACACAAACCACAGAAGAAACTCATCCAGAGCCCCAGAGCGCTTTGTATGACCCAGAGTTATGCATTCAGTAAGAACAGACAGAAAAGAAGAATTGAACTCCAGGAGAAAAGAATGGAACTTTGCAGTAAAATGGAGAATGACTGCGGGACATGCACGAGGAGTCAGCTCTGGATGGGGACGGTGAGAGAAGACAGTTCTTGACTCAGCAGTGAGGAGCCTGTTGGACGGAGAGAAGAGACAGAGGGGAGGAAAGGGGAGGGCTCCACGTCTCCAGGAGACAAGCTGGAAAGAAGTCCAAGGAGCGAGGGTGTGGTTTGAAAAACAAGGAGTACAATTTCAAACTGGATTCTGAGGCAAACAGTCAGTGAGGGCCTCGAGATCCACGAAACACCAATTTTCTCCGTGAGAGACCAGATCGGAACTTTAGGAGCTGCTGTGACACTCTGACGTTGCTGCACCACAACATCTCGGTGTGACTGCTGACACAGCTTTCCTGAGGTTTGCATTTATCTGTTAAGCAAAACATTGACACTCCGACGGCGCCAGGCAGCGTTGAGCTGGGAACAGATGTGGATCAACATCCTGCCGTCAGTGCTGTGCCACAGGCAGCAGCTCTCCAGCAGCTTCAACGATCAGGCACGAGGACGAGCAAGTCCAACATGCAGACTCTCCATCCCTTGGAGCTGCAGGTGATCCCACTTGGGCAGGTCTGCAGTGGACACTCTCTCCTACAGGCCAGAAGATGTGCCAGTGCCATTTGACTTTTTTTGGATCAAAACAGCAAAGTAGCCAAAAGTTTGCAGAATGAACACTCGTGCAGCTAAGCGGTGATTTGAACAGATGTTGTTTAGCAAGAACTTCCTTGGATGATTCTGTGGGAAGAAGACTAAGAACATGCACAATACATACAATATTTTTCCATGTAAATAACAGCCTCTCCAAGACAAAAATGCAGCTCTTCTCAGGGCTGTTTTCAAACACTGAAAAAAAAAAAAGGCATCAGGCTGCCATCCATAGGATGAGCCAGAAAACCAAATATTTGGATGAAAACAACCTCTGAAATAAATAGAGAAACATTTACCAGGAGCTTTTCCATTTGCTTTGTTAAAGGATTTCTAGGGATTACGCTCTTCTCAGCTGCTGGATGCTGTGGCTCTGCCTTGTATAAGGGAGCAGGAGAGTAGCAGTCAGCTAATCAGAGGGGCACTAACACAACGAACCATTAGAGACCCTTTACATTGCCTTTTAATAGACTAGAGACTCTAGGAGAAATACCTTAAATAAGGCCAGTAGTGCCTTCCCATTGAGAGATCCCAAACTAAATATAGAAAACAAGGTTAAAATAGTCAGTTAAAACATCCATGCACACAGCTGACTGTGCAGAGGGCAGTTAGTTTTGCAGCTGAAGCTCAGTAGGCTGCAAAGTGGACAAAAGATGGCAAAACATTTCTCCCATTTTTGTTTGATTTGTGCCACAGTGTCCAGCACTTTCACAGAGCTGGCCATGCTTGCAAAGAATGTGACCCTTGGGATCAGCAAAGCCAGGTCTTATAAAGGACAGATATTTAAACACAGAGAGGTGTAAAGAAGGTAGAGATGAGAAAGACATCAGCAGACAGAAGTGTGGCAAAGCACTCTTACATAAAGGGAGATGCTTTTTTTACCATGGATATTATGGGATGTTGTAATTAGGATTTGGCCAGCTGGGATTGGGCATGAAGGATTATATTATTAAAACTGGAGTGAAGAAATATAACAGACCTTTAATTTTAATTATACTTTAAAAGAGACTCGATTTCCTTGCCAGTGATCTCTCCAGTTCACATCAGCAGTTTGGTGCCAGACTACTAAGAGGGATTGCACACAATACACGGTGACTTTTTTGCATTTGTAATTCTTAATGATAAAAATAAGTCTCAGGGACAAATCTGTTGCTTCTTTCTTTTGTCACAGTTCTCTTTAAAACATAAATGATATAAAAATGTATATACTGTAACTATGTACATTACTTAAGAGGTCTTACTTTATTTGTGAAATAAATGATGCAAGTCTGTGCCTTGTTTTTCTTTAAGACATAGTTAGCTATAAACTAAAGAGCAAAAATAGGAGGTCTGGATATAAATAATTAGCATCCATAAAGTGACTGTAAGGGAGGACAGCTGACAGAAGAAAACACAGAGCAAGTTCACTATACCAACATGGGCTGGTGACAGATGTCCTGATGTCCCACTGATGGTCTGTCTCTGCCCTCATTTGGAAACTCATAACCCACCTTAATTAAACTGCTACTAACAAACCTGAAGGGCAGATGCTACTCAAACCCCTTTTGACCATGTAAAGAAAAGTTGTCTCCACTTCAGCTCCAGTTTTTGCTTTGTTCTTTTGAGAGACCAGACCTTGGTACCTAACCCCAGTCAGGAGTCTTCTGGGGACAGCTACAGATCCCAGATTTCCTCAGGGATGGGGCTTTAGCAGCACCTCATCCCAGCCACCTGTTCAATGGGCTGTTCAGGGTTTCCTCTGTCCAGATGTAGACCTTCATGTCTCCCAAATATGGCAAAGGGCTGCAGCCCATGGCTGCAGCCTGTGACTGTGTATGCCAGTAGAACCCAAGGTGTCTCAGCAGAGCCATGCCTGTGATTCCTTTGGAAACCTAACCCAGTTTTGGCAATTCCCATCTCCATGTATTAAAAATGAATGAGGTGAAGTTAAAATAATGAGGTTTTAAATTGTAATATATTTGAAACTGTTTTAATCGCCTTCTGGTTTTGAGTCTTCAGGGGTCCCTTGTTCAGCTTTGCTTCACAACGCAGTACATAAGAAACTAATCTATAAAAAATTAAATTAGAGATTCTCCCGTAATCCTGTGTTTCCCAGAGCTGAGCTCTCTGGGAAAATATGAACAACACAATGCTCTGGATAAAAGTGCTGGAGATAGTAACACTGCAGCAATTTCCATCTCAAAGGATTACTGTAATTTAGGAGAAATATAATAGCTTTAACATTACCTTCACCTCCCTCATCTGATGCTAATGGGCTGGCTAGGAGTGAGGGTGAAAGAAAAAGGTGTTGATGTACCTCTTGCATGTTGAACCCTTCACTTCTTGGTTATTCAATAACTTCCAATTCACAGTGTCAACTCTTGGGGGAAGGAGCCCTGTTCCTATTTAGAAATCGCACGGGGCAAAACAGCGGGATGGTTTTCCAAACATGTGGTCATAAAACCCCTCACGTACCTCCGGGCACGGCTGCAGCAAAGCCCACATGGCATTAGGGCAAGTCAAGGTGGACCAAGGGCAGCTGTGCCGCCGGACCCCAGCGCTGGCCGAGCCCCTTGGGGGTGCCGGGGGCTCCCGAGGAGGATGAGGAGAGCCACGCTCTGGCACTGCCGGCCACGACAGCAGGTACCGGGCAGGTGGCTCCCGTTCCCCAGTGCCCACCAAGGGCCACCGCCGAGGGGGCAGCGCCTGGGCGTCCCCTGCCTCCCTCCGCACCCCGGCGGGAGCCCCGGGGCAGGGACCATCGCCCCGGCACCGCCAAGCTGCTCTGGGGAAGCCCCGGCGCCGGTGTGAGGGTGGGTCGAGGACAGCCCCGGGGGCGGTGTGAGGGTGGATCGGGGACAGCCCCGGGGTCGGTGTGAGGGTGGGTCGAGGACAGCCCCGGGGTCGGTGTGAGGGTGGGTCGAGGACAGCCCCGGGGTCGGTGTGAGGGTGGGTCGAGGACAGCCCCGGGGTCGGTGTGAGGGTGGGTGGGGACAGCCCCGGGGTCGGTGTGAGGGGAACCCGGGGCAGCGCCGGAGGAAGCCGGGGAGGGGTCCAGGTCACGTGAGCGCGTGTGGCAGCAGCGGAAGGATACCTGCACTTTAGCAACCCCTCCCGCCCCTCTCCCTTGGCCGTAGCCGGGGCGGGGACCCCCCCCTCTCCTGGGAGCGCCGTCCCCAGCCCATCCCTCAGCGGGAGTGCAGGGACAGCGGGGCAGAGGAAGAGCGAGAGGGCGGGCGAGAGGCGGTGGCGATGGGCGGGGGAAAGAAGCGCGGCGGGGAGGGACTATTTGAGGAGACCCTGGAAGGCTGGCGAGGTGCGGAGTGATTCCGGCGGCGAGTGAGCGGCCCCGCGCTGAGGCCGAGGAGGGCGGCGGGCGCGCCGAGCGCCATCCCAGCGAGGGCTCCGCGCCTGCGCCGCTCCCGCAGCCGTGAGGGGAGCACCGGCCCCCGCTCCGCTCCGCTCCACCGCCCGCCCCTGCCCGCGCCCCTGCCCCGGGCAGCTCGCCCCCAGTCATGGCCCAGATACTGCCCATTCGCTTCCAGGAGCATTTCCAGGTGAGCGCGGCGGGGCGGCGGCGGAGGCGAGGGGAAGGGGCTCCCCCTCCTCTGCCTCACCCCGTCCCTCACAGGGTGGGGGGGGCCGCGGCCTAGGCGGGCCGGGGGCGCGCTGAGGGGCGGGGAGAGGGGGCCAGGTCACGAGGGGAACCCCCTCCGTCCCTTGGGACCCCCTCCGGTGCCTTCTTTCCCTCCCTGCGGAGCGCGGCCGCCGTCCCGCTGGGTGCCGCGGGAAGGCGCGCGGGGCCGAGCCCGCCCCCGGTGCGGGCTCTGAGCTGCCTCGTCTGTCTGTCCGTCCGTCCGCCCGTCCATCCCTCCATCTATCGCCGGGGCTGCCTCTCCGCGCCGTGCGGAGCGGCCGCGATTTGTGCAGAGTCACTCGCCGCCTGAGGGACCTCCCGCTCCGGGGAGGGGGAGGCGCCGGGGCCGCGCCGCTCACCCCGGGGACCGCGGGCGCTCCCGCCCTGGCTCGGGGGGACGCCGCAGTCTTGCAGAGGGATCGCGGTTTTTCTCTTTTACCGTCACCCTCAGGATCGCGGAGGTTCCGGGGAACCCCTTTCTGTGCAGCTCGAGCTGCGGGGAAATCGGTGAGATGAGGTGCAAGAAAGCATTTGGACTTGGAAGCTGCACAGCTTATTTCCCTTCTTCCAAACATAACAATATTTTAAAAAATCCTCCCCCAGAATAACGTGGTTGTCTTAATAGCCTGTTAAAACTATAATGCCAGCATTGGAAGAGATCCATGACTAATGGATGCAGCACAGACAAACCGGTTTATCTGTTTCCTTGTGACCCGGTGGTAAGGGAGGGTTGTAAATGGAGTGAGAGAACAGCGGTCTCTGAACATGCAGTTTGAGGCAGGAATTAAAGGAATTTGCTAAATGAATGAGAGAACAGGAAGTGGACTTGGCAAGTCATCCTTCTGTCGCCGTACCGCCCCTTTCTGTCAAATCAGGCATCCATTTCAAAATACAAACGGGGCATCATCCCTCAGTGAGGACTTGGTGCCTCTTCAGGCATTTCAGCCTGGGAAATGGTTATGGCCACTTCCAGCTCCCTTTGGGAAGCGGTTTTTGCTTAACTGGAAGAACTGTCCCGGTGACCCTAGAAGGAACTCTGGCCTGAAAAACAGTAATTAGAGCTAGTGAATTCCAGAAATATCTAATCTCTGTGCCCAAGGGAGCAGACACACCTGTGTCCTCTGAGTTTTCATGGGTTGGGAGAGTTTAACAGGGTGAAGAATTCTGTTGTCACTCCACCCCCTCCCTGCCTGTGTCCGCTATAGCAGCGATTGTAATAATCTCAAACAGGTTCCTAAGAGCTGCAGTACAGTTTTCTAAGTAAGAAACTTGGGGTCAAAGTGTTTCTGATGTCAGACTCTCCTTAGAGAGAAGCCTATAGTTCTTACAGTTTAAAACTAGCCCAATCCTGCTGATTGTGTTTGGTCTATACAACAATGATGAGAGGACATCACACTTAATATGCAGGAGGTGTACTGGGCTGCTTTGCATGTCAAATGACTGTTTCTGTCATTACTGGTGGTGTGTGTCTTGCAACACTGCCAATATCAGCATTGTGGGACCTCAGTTTTTTTTGGGTGAGGGGCTCCCCACCTGCTTCTCGAGGGATCTGCACTGAAGTCATATTCTATTTTTTGCTACCACCTGCTTTTGCTCTAAAATAATTTGATCTTGTTTAAAGGGCTAAATCTGTGCTTGAGTGGCTTTCCCCCAGCGTGAAAGCTGCATGGAAGAGCAGGGAAAACCTTGGGATGCCCACTGTTAACATGTAGGACCCAATTTCATCAGCATTCACTCTGTGCTGCTTCTCCCCCCCAGGCTGAGTGCAGGAGCTCTAAAGCAATACTGAAGTGGGGATCAGGAGTAGCTGGTAGTAGGAATGCAGTCAGCCTCCTCAGTGCTGCTTCTGCAGTTGTCCCTACATGGTGGGATAAATAGAGAGGGAAAATGAAAGGAATGTAAGAACTCAGAGTGTTTGATCTGGCTGGATATCTGCAGTACAGTTTTATCAGCTCTAACTTAATGTTATGTGTTGTAAACATCTAGAGTCATGAATAAGTGATACGTGCTCCTTATTATTGACTGGTAGGGAACTTGTAGAAACATGAGGCCTTCCCTTCCTAATTCTGTGCTGTCACCCATATTTAGCTTAATCTCTTCCCCCCTCCCCACTACTTCCAAGCAATTGGCTTGAGTACAGATAAATTATCATATTTAATATTAGTGTAGCAAGTGTACTATGCTACTTTATGATAAATCCAAAAAAGTTACAGTTCCTTGTAACAGTGCTGTTTTCAGTGATCCTGAGTTGAATCTTTCTGTAGCTTAAGTCAGTCTGTGTACTGTTTGTACCTCTAGCCTTTTTAATTAATTAATATGGCTTTAAGTGATTAGAAGATTGGTTAGTGATATAATTAATTCCAAATTCAGCCTGTTGCTGATGAATTGTGATTTCCCTCAAGTTCAGAGTTTTCCCGAGGTAGCTGTAGGTACTTTACTAAAAGAAGAACTGAACCATGCAGTGCTCTCCAGAGAAGCTAAACATAAGTTGCAGTGCTAAATACTGAACTCTTCTCTCCCTCTCTCTCTCGCTGGAAGTGGATAAATGGTAGTGTGAAGTGAAACAGAGATCTTGGTCCACGTAGAATTGGAGGAGTGCTGGGGATCAGCAGACTGTTTACATTCCTTGTGCAGCTCATTTTGCCTTGTGTTGATCATCCTTCTGACTGAACAGTAGCTCCAAGGCTGTGCAGGAGGAGTGACTGCCAGTCACAGAGCACGTAAATTTGGAGTTGTTACAGCTTGTATCTTCAAGTCCCGTGTGAGCCGAAGGTTGGAGAATAGTGGCAGTGAAAAAAAGATACCCAGGTCTTGTTGGGGTAGAAGAAACTCGAGTCTGTTTGTTTAGCTACATTTAATACAATTGAACAGCAGTTTCTAGAGGAGAACTCTCACTGTGAGTCTTCACAAATTCATAAAATACTTGCACCTTGCTCATTCTTCCCCCCAAGGATATTGGAGTCCCGTAGCACCGGAGGGGAATGAGGCAAGGCCTTAGTTTTTATCTGTCTGGTGGCTGCCCAGCTGCAGCAGTCCAGACTGTGCCAAGCCCTGCTACAGTGAATTACTAGCGCTCACTATTTAAATTAATGTGATTTAATCAGGTTCTTAACTCCAGTGCTCCTGTTGGAGCAGTGAATTATAAATTATTTACCAGATTGAACTCTTGCGAGGGGATTGTAATTTACAATGGAAGTGCTGTAAAAGACCAAATATGCTGGGATATAGGCTGGAAGCAATGCTGCTGGAATTCAGTGTACAAAGTGTTCCTGATCTAAAATTAAAACTTTTCCTTTACTTAGTCATTGGTTTTCTCTTAAAAGCTTCTCTTTGTGCTTTACAGTTCTTACTGGTAAAAATCTCTGCTTGTCTGCAGAGAAGACTGTTGTTTGTGCAGTGTCAGGTTCCAAGGCTGGGGCCTTCATCCCTTGGATGGAGAGACATATACAGTTCCACTTTCTGTTCAATAACTGATCCAGGCTCTTGAGCACAGCCAACTACTGTGAAAAAACTTGTGTGCATGTCATGCTCCCCATACATAAGTGTTGTGCATTTTGGTGCAGCACTGAGAGGCTAAAGTATTCTGGTTTTAAACATAAAGGATGTAGATTTACTTCCGTCATTTTCAAGGCAAAACTGGTTTCTGTTTGGATAGTCTGGCTTGTCTTATTAAGAATTACTTTGTGTTGTGAAATGGGCATGACAGAACTGAATGGCTTTTATGAATTTGCTTTGGCTAGACATGTGGACTTAAGAAGCACTCAGGGTATTTGCAAGCTGTGACTCTTTAGGCTTGTATTGAAAAGGTAGGGCTGACTATTATGACTTGATTTAGCTGTTTAGTGATGAAGAGACCATATTTGCTCACTGGATTCAAAAGTGCCTCGCACATGGTAGGGAGACTCATTCACAGACATACAGGAACAGATTCTTGTGTAGAGTAACAGGCACTTCAGATGAAAACCTAATCCAGCTGCAGCTAAAACCTCTGAGCTGGTGGTCTTGCATGTTTTGGGTCTTCCATATTTCCTTGGTGTCCCTCACCTGTGCAGGTGGGAACTGTATCAGGAGATGAGGTGAGCAGGGATGCCCAACAATTATGCACATCCTTATTGGGGATGATTATAACTTTATATGGTCACATGAGGAAGAGTTATGGGGAACTCTTAGTGCATTTTTGGTTTGTATTATGTTTAAAAGGATACGTGCTTACAGAGCTTTCAGCAGGCAGTTTTTATTGGGATATGTATAACCTCTGTCCAAGCCCTACTCTTTTTAATGGCCTTAAACAACAGTTGATCACCTCTAACAAGCATTTCTGCTAGAGCTGTGTGGCATAAAGCTGAAATGGGATATTTACTGAACTCCAGAGAGACATTAAATTCATAAAGTTCTTCTGACTCCTGCATTTAACTAATCATAGATCCTAATTATTGGAGTGTCAGTATAAGACAGTATTTTAGGCTTAAGTAGTCCCATTAGACAAATGGACTTTGTTTGTAGGCTTTGTATTAGTATCTGAGTTGGTCTGTACTGGCTTAGTCTGGAATTCTTGTGTAAAAAAAGCCCATTTTGACTCCATTTCTTAGCAAATGGTACAATGCTGGTAAAAAAGAACAGGGAGATACTAAATGTCAGATTAATAATTGTATTTCATCCTACAAATGTTTGTATCTTCATTCATGTTGAGAGTCAAGCAGTACATCTCGGGTTAATCTTTACCATGTCAGTAAGTTGTCAGTACCTATGAGATGCTTAAAAATAAGTTTGGTATCTAAGCCAGCCTGCAGCAGTACCAGATATCTGTGAAGCAAAGATCTTTGTTATCTGGTTTGTTCAGCCTGATGGTGAAGCTGGTTCTGTGCTGTGTGTGTAGATAA